TCACGCCTGTAATCCCAGCACTTTGGGAGGCCGAGGCGGGTGGATCAAGAGGTCAAGAGATCGAGACCATCCTGGCCAGCATGGTGAAACTCCGTCTCTACTAAAAATACAAAAAATTAGCTGGGCGTGGTGGCGCCCGCCTGTAGTCCCAGCTACTTGGGAGGCTGAGGTAGGAGAATTGCTTGAACCCGGGAGGTGGAGGTTGCAGTGAGCTGAGATCGCACCACTGCACTCCAGCCTTGCGGCTGGTGACAAAGCAAAACTCTGTCTCAAAAAAAAAAAAAAAAAAAAAAAAAGGTCTGGATTCAAAGATCTTGGTTCTGCCACTTATTAGCTATAAATAGTAATTTTAACTCTGAGAAGCCCCAGATGATGTTTTTGTTTGGTTTTGTTTTTTTGACCTGGAAAATGGAGATGACAGAACCTCCATTATAAGGTGGCTGTGACAAACAAATAAGATGATGTATATCAAAGTGTGGTCGCCAGACCAGCTGCATTAACATCACCTGTGAAGTAGCCCCACCTCTGACATACTGAATCAGAAAGCCAGGGCATGCGGCCCAGCAATCTGTGTTACAACACACCCTCCAGGGAATTTTGGTGTAGTTCAAGTTTGAAAACCACTGATATATATGTAATGTGCCTGGTTCCCAACTGGCATTCAACAAATGATTCTCATTGTCACCACTATTGTTTACTCTTGACAGTTCTAGCATATTCCCTCTGAGATGTTGAGTTGGGTATGTATCTTTCCCCCCTCATGTCCTACAAATACTGTGTCTTAATATTTGGGTTGTCTGCTAATGCAATTGATCGCCCACACAGCTGCCCTTTAATATAAGGTAGTCTTCTGGTCTTTCCTTGCATACTTCCAGTAATAGTAGCTCACTATCTATCTGGGAAGGATAAATCCCCTGGTCAAGCCCTGTTCATACATGCATGCCAACTGTATGTACTGTAAAGACCTTCCCCTAAAGGCCTCTTCTCCAAGGTCCCTCATCTGTGCTTAGGTCTCTCTCCAGCTTTAGGGTAGCTCTCCTGTATGCCTGAGCCTCAAATGAGGCCTGATCAGCCCTGAGGAGCAGGGGAGGTTTCCTTCTCAAATCTAGGACTGTGTTTCTACTTCTTGTCTCGTGTTTTGGCAGCCACTTCACCCTGCTGACTCACTCTGGTCTGAGGTCACCCAAAACCCCCAAGCCTTTTTCTCAGGAATTGCAGGCACTTGGGTCGGTTGGGTCACTCCAGTCCTTGATGTGTGCAATTCATTTCTTAAAAATAACATTACTTTCGGCAGGGCGTGGTGGCTCACACCTGTAATCCCAGCACTTTGGGAGGCCGAGATGGGTAGATTGCCTGAGGTCAGGAGTTTGTGACTAGTCTGATCAACACAGAGAAACCTCATCTCTACTAAAAATACAAAAAATTAGCTGGGCGTGTTGGTGGGCTCCTGTAATCCCAGCTACTTGGGAGGCTGAGGCAGGGGAATCACTTAACCCCGGGAGGCAGAAGTTGCAGTGAGCCGAGATCCCGCTACTGCACTCCAGCCTGGGCAACAAGAGCAAGACTCTGCCCCCAAAAAACAAAACAAAACATTACTTTCAAATTATGAAAGACATGCTTGATATAGTAAATTAGGAAAACACAAAGGGGAAAAAACCTCACTGGTAATGGTCATCCTAAAATTGACATCTGATTTTCAAAAAAAAGATCCCATATTTTTGTATTCAAGAAAAAAAAAAAACCCACTTAAGCAATTTCCATTTCTGGGGCAAAAAAGAATCAGAGAAAATGATACTAATGTACCATAGGAATCATTGTGAATTCCAGCATATATGGATATCTCTTGTCTCATAATTCAAATATACACCAATGCATACAATGTAAACTCATCCCCCCCAAGACTACCATTGCTCATCTTTTGGGTATAGCCTCCAATCCTTTGTAGTTACTTTTTTTTTCT